CAGAGTAGATAGACCCCAAAGAAGTGAATATCTAATTGTGAAATTTTAACTGCAGTAATGAACAGTGAAAATGTTAGGAATGGAGAGAAGAAATACTTCCTTCATGCCTCTCTGACCTGCTGGTGATTGATGCCTAGAGACAATGGGCAAAGAAGGCTTCTGAAAAAATAACCTCACCCATTAAAAAAAACCCAACTACTGTTTACTTTTAGTTTTGTATTTCATAGTCTCTAGCACATGGTATGCACTTAATAAATACTAATTGATTGGGGAAAATTTTTTTTTTCCAGCTCCAACTGCTTAGTTAACTGAATCCTCCTTGCCTTTTGCCAGTGGTTGTGTTCAAATTGGCCCTGACTAGGCAGAATTCTGGCTAGAAAAGAAATCCTGGTTTGTGTGCAACTGGGGTCAGTTAAGGAGAGGGGCCAGATTCTTGGGGATAAAAATTGTTGCTGAATCCTTCTTCCAAAACCACCCCATCCTCACCAGGTGTTAACCATGAACAGAGCTCCTAACCAAATTGCCCTACTCCTAAACTCCTCCTGCCCCTCTCATAGATCCCAGGAGCTCCCACCTGCATCAGGCAGACGTTGACCTCCTCACTTACCTGAACAACGACAAATATAGCCTGTATGATGGGATAGAGGATCTTGATTGCTGACTGACACTCATAGAAACTGGAATAGTAGCCTGTTTTGAAGACGTCCATGACCAGGGTACAGACACCAAATAGGATCAGCCCACCTTGGGAACAGAGATGGTGGAGGTGAGATATTGGGATATATCATCTCAAACTTGCCTGTGGCTCCATTCTCACGTTATCCTGTATGGCCCACTGATCAAAGACAGATATTGGGGATGTTGAAAGAAGTTAGAGATTAATGCTCCCAGTTGGTGGCTAGTACCTCTGCCTGCTCTGCTCTGGAAGCAAGGATTACATTAGGTTGTCATATTCGGGGCTGTAAGGGAACGTTGCCACACTAAGATTTTTAAATTGTTGGGGACCTTGGAAATCACCCCAACTCCTTCCCCACCTCCATTTCAAAGAGAAGCAAACTGTGGTTCAAGGTAGTTAAATGATTGGCCCAAGGTCTAGTATCTGAATTTGATCTCGGGTTTTTTGACTTTAAATCTTCACTACACCTTGCAGACGTAAGATGCTTCTCTCCCTTTCACAGTGTTTCCCTTTCCTCAGTCCAAGTTCTTGTCAGACCCACTCAGGCCCCTCGCCAAGTCTGGCTCACCTACCCATGTCAAGTCATAGCACTTCTTCCATTTCCAGTTCTTCCGAGGGCAACCTTGGGCCAGAATCCCCCTCCCCCTTCTCATGTTCCCCACCCCAACCCTGCACCTCATTTCCAACCCCGCCCCCACCAGTTTTCTGGGTCCCGAACTTCTCTCCAACCTTGAAGCCAGATTGGTCCCGCGTGAGAGTCCAGGTAGGGGATCGCATCCGGGAGTCGGGAGGTTCGGAATATGTAGAAGAGAATCCAGATGATGGTGAGGAGCATCATGGTGGTAAGCAGTGCGAACACATCTGTGTCATACACCGCCACTTTGTTGAAGGCGCCGCTGCTTATGAGGGTGCTGGCGAGGAGGAGCACATTGACAGACAGCAGCACCGACAGCATCCGGCCGCCCTTCTTCCATCCCTCCCGAAGCGTGGGTTCCGGGGCTTGGGGGCTTTCCTTGGTGCCCGGGACCAGCTCCTCCGACATGGCAGTGGCGGCCAGGGAAGGTAGAGGTGGGGAGTCACTGCGGGGGAGGAGCAGACAGGACCCCATATCAACCACGAGAGCTCCCCTCTCTCCAGTACCCCCTCCCCCACAACGCTACTTCTGAAGTGGGACCACTTTCTGCAGCCGTCGAAGGGGCAAGATGCTGGAACTGAGGACCACAAAAGTCCACGCTCCTCTCTCTTCCCTCCTATTTAGAAGGTTGCCTCGAAGGGAGGGGAGCAGGAGCTGTGGCCCATGGGATTCCCTGGGAGTCCCCACCAGCAAGTGCTGAGGGCTCTTGAGTCAGGGAGCCTCCTCTGTCCTCTCTGCTCTCCTCAGACCCAAGCCCGCCCGATGCTACCTGCCAGCGAAATACCCACCTGGCTGGGGCCAGGGCTGAGCTGGGACGCGGGGGTCAACTGACGGCTCTTCTCTCCCACGCCAGGCTGGATGGGCGTTTTATACCCGGGCTGGCATGGGTATTTACAACCACTGGCGGGAGGGCAACCCAGCTCCATAAACTTCTCTGCCCCGCTCACATGATACATTTTATTTCGGATCTGATTTTGGGGAAGAGCACCTGGGAGAGAGATAAGGTTAGATTTATAATCATCTGGTGACAGGCCCTTCCTGACCTCGCCTCCTCTCCCTTAACCCTTCCCTCCTTCCTTTCACTGCTTCTGAGCTCGGGAGCGGCCCTGCCCGGCGTTGCTTTTTGGGGAGGGTACCTTGTCCTCTGTCTTCTCTTCCTCCTCGCCCCCCAAAATCCCTGGTCCTTCACCTCCCGAGCGCATTCTTAGGTTCTTGGTAGTCAACTCTACCCACCTCCACGCTACTCAGAAGCTCCCATTCCACAGCTATGTCCTTCTGTCCTTCATTTCCCGACCACATCCCCTTGATACCCTGGTCTCAGGCACGCGAAGCTTGGATAGCACCCTTTCCCATCTCCACCCGACAGGACAGTTATGTTTTCTTTTCCCGAACGTTTCGTGACAGCTCGATCTTCCTCCCCACCTCTCTCTTTTTCTCTACTCTCCCAGCCTTTCCAGACCCTAGGAAGCAAAGTCCGGAACGCCTGTTCCTTCTTGCCACCTACGACTTTCCCATCTCTGCCTTATCTTTATCCGAGCCCCACTCCCTAACGTCTGGCTTCCTTCTTATGCCATGGGATTGTAACCGGTTTCGGCTCCTAAGGCGGGGGCCTTTATCGGCTCTGCAGCGCTCCCCGGAGGAAGACTGCAGTAGTTCTAGTTGGCTAGCCCATCACTAAGCCTGCAAGTCGGGTACCCAGGAAGCGAGCTCCATCCGGTGCTTACTTGGGCATATGTTGGCAAGTACCCTGATTTTACCCGGTGCCCTACCTTTATTCCTGTCCTGGTCCTCTTTGTTTCCTGTGTGGCACAAAGAGAATGGGCTGCCTCCGGAGGCAGCTGAACTCTCCATCCATCCTTTGTTAAGGATGTTGGAAAGGAAATTTCTTCTTTGATACAATTAGGTCTACCCTAGATGATGCCTGAGGATCCTTCCAACTCCGAGATTCTATGATTCTAAGTTCTGGTTTCTCTAAGCCATTTCCAAATGTGCCTAGAGGCAGCTGGATGGATCGGTGAATAGAGTACTGAGCCTGGAGTCAGGAAGAACTGAATTCATATTCAGCCTCAGACATTGCTTAGCTGTGTGATCCTGTGCAAGTCACTTAACCTGTGTCTGTCTCATTTTTCTCAACTGTAAAATGGGGATAATGATAGTACTCCGAGTGAGGTGAGGATATGTGCTTGACTCCCTTCCTTAGACAGACTTTCAATGGAAAGAACACTGATTCTGGAGTCAGATGACCTCTGTTTGAATATTACCTCTCAAGTTTCTTAGCTGTGTGACCTTGATCACTTAACTTCCCTAGGAAACAGTTTCTTCATTTATAAAATTAAGGAATTGGTCTAGATTCCAGCTCTTGTTCTATTAATCGGGAAGGCTGGGATGGAAGTCCACAGCATTTTAAAGCAGCCCAACTACTCACTGAATCGTCAGAAAAGAAATTCTTCGCGGAGGATAGGGAAGAGAGACTTGGTACCGGTGAATTTTATCTTTCCACAAATACAGGGGTCCTTTTTTGTGTTATGGACTCCTTTGACAGGCAGTATGGTGAAGTCAAGGATGAATCCCTCCTCAGAAGAATGTTTTTAAATGCATAAAATAAAATGAATCGGATTACAAGGAAATCATATATATTGAAATAATGATGTAAGTTTTTCCTATCTCAGTTTTCGGACCCCCGGAAATTTCTACACGGCTCCCTTGCGGGGCCACGGACCACTGCGCTGATACCATGCAAATGACGTACCAAATTGTCTGTAAATGAATAAACCATTATCGCGTTGAAGGGTAAAGGCAGAAAATCTCGATATCAGGAACTTTTCGAAACGAGAAAGCGGAGGGACAAGGTATTTTTTGCCCATTTCCCAGTCACTTACTGTCCCCCCCGAGGCTTTGAGCCTTCACTGTCACTCATGATTCCAGACTTAGGTGAATACACTAAGATCTATGATTTCACTAGTATCGTGAACTCCAGGCGTGGGAACTCGTCCATCAAGGCTGGTAGCGACACAGCTATAGCAGTGAATGCTCCTAAGGAGTTAGTAGCCTGAGGCGCATTTTGGGGTTCTGGGACTTCCCCAGGATTACCTAGCTAGTAAATCAGAGGCATAAGTCAGGGATTTGCAGTTTAGGTCTTCTTGATGGAATAGTCACTCTAGCCACTGCACAATGACATATCCCAGAATAAATAACCAAGCCCCAGGAGAAGGGTATATCTGAGCATTTAAAGGATGTGCAATGATATTAAAAAAAAAAAAAGGACTATTAAGAATACCCTTAGTTGCTCTCTGCTCCTGTAGTGTGTGGTGCGCCCTGGATGCCCTCTTTACTTGTATCTGGGGATACGGTGAGGTAAACCCTGTCTGGATGAGATGGGAGCAGGACAGACTGATAGATGGCACTTAGGACCCAGGGGGAGCTCGGGTCTCAGTGCAGCAGGCGAGCGGAGATCTTCTCAGTCCCCCGCTTCTCCCTCCCCTGTCCCCCCTCCCCCGCCTTTGGGGTGAGAGCATCTCAGATGTCCGGGTAACCACGGCTCTAGGCAGCCTCTGTCTGTAGTAGCTGGGCCGGCGGGCCCCGTGCCCCCCGCCCCCCTTCCCAAACCCAATGCCTCTGCTCTAATAACGCGGCCGGTTCCCCCTGAAGTCACCTCCCTTCCCCCTCCCCTACCCATCTAACTTTGGCACCATGAACGACCAGTACCACCGGGCGGCCCGGGATGGCTACTTGGACCTTCTCAAAGAAGCCACCCGGAAGGAACTTAATGCTCCAGATGAAGATGGCATGACCCCCACCCTCTGGGCCGCCTACCACGGTAACCTGGAGTCGCTGCGTCTCATCGTTAGCCGAGGGTGAGGTTCCCATTCCCCACCGCCCTTCCTCCCTGGCTCTTTCTCCCTTGGCGGATCTCGGTGTTTCTTTTCCCTGGAAAACTTTAGGGATGAGGGAGGCCTGACCCCAGCCCTCTTTTCCCATAGCCTTTCCTTGTCCTTTCTTAGAATACCCTTCTCCTAAGATCTGGTTTTTACCCTGTGCCCTGGCTTCCTCCTCCCCCAAAGCCCAGCTCTTGGTATGGGGTGCGTGTGTGTAATAACCTGTGACACTTGTAGGGAGCAGGGTGTGTGTGTGTGTGTGTGTGTGTGTAGGTGAATAGCAAGTCCCAAAAGAAGAAGCACTGGGGTTGGGGTTCCAGTTCCTGAGGTCAAGGTAATGACCAGAGAGTTTAGGAGAAAGGGAGCTGCAGAAATAGGAGGAGGAGGGAATCAGGGATCCCCTTCCAAAAATTATCTCAGAGGAAGAGAGGTCTTCCAGAGAAGGGTCAAACATGATAGGGTGTTGGAGGGGAGGGTGTCCTTGTCCCCTCTCTACCATAGGTAGAAGAGCTGGGGCTACCCAGCCTGGCTTTACCACCTTTGCCTGGCCCCTGGCCTCACTCTCCCTGTCTCCCTGCTCATTCTTTGGTATTTATGGATATTGTATTGTGCAGCCTGAAAATGCCACAGCTGCCTTGCTCCACTGCCCTTTAATTGGGTTTCCTCTCCTTCAGCTCTCATGAGAAAGGGTGAAATATGACTGCCCCAGCTTTTCTTCCTCTCCACTGCTTTTCTTCATTAGCCTTGGCTTGCCCCTACACTGCCCTCCTCTAAGCAGCTTGTCTTGTGTGTTTTGAAACCATGTGTGCAACTGTGTACAGGGCACACTTCTCCACTATTTCCCCTTGGAAGCCCAGTCTTTTGTGGGGATGGTGTGAGCATGGAACCCAGTGGTCAAGACCTTAATAAAGAGATAAAATCTGCCTGGGAGAAAGCGGTAGTGGTTGAGGGATAAAGGACTGACTGTAGAGGGAAGAGAACAAGCATTTATTAAAAGCCTACTCTGTGCCAGGTGCTTTACAAATATTAATTTCATTTGATCCTCACAACAGTCATGGGAGGAATGTGTTATTATGATCCCTATTTTCCAGTTGAGAAAACTGAGACAGCTAGAGGTTAATTGATTGGTCCCAGGTCACTCAGCTAGGAAATATCTGAAGCTAGATTTGAATTCAGGTCTGCCTGACTCCAGGCCCAGGCTCAATTCAATTCAATTCAACTCAATAAACATTCAGTAAGCACTAAGTGGTGCAGTAGGTAGAGTGCCTGGCCTAGAGTCAGGAAGACTCATTTTCCTGAGTTCAAATCTGGCCTCAGATACTTATTTGCTGTGTGACCCTGGGAGTACAATTTAAGCCTGTTTGCCTCAGTTTCCTCATTTGTACAATGAGCTGGAGAAGGAAATGGTAAACTAGTGTTTTTGCCAAGAAGACCCCAAAGAGGATCCCAAAGAGTTGGACATGACAGAACAGCAGAAACAAAGCACCTACTATCTGCCAGGAACTGCTAAGCACTGGGAATACAAAAAGAAGCAAAAGACAGACCTTGTCCTCAAGGAGCTTACAATCTAATGATTGTGCCCTATCCACTAAACCACTTAGTTGCCTCCAAAGGGGAATGGAACAAACATTTATTAAGAACCTACTATATACCAGGCACTGGGCTAAGCACTTTACAGATATCACATTTGATCTTCACTATGGCTGTGGGAGGTAGGTACTATTATGATACCTATTTTACAGATAAGGAAATTGAGGCAGAGTTTAAGTGACTCTTACAGCTAGTAAATGTCTGAGGCAGAATTTGAACTCAGGTCTTCCTGATTCCAGGCCTAGAGTTCTATCAACTGTTCCACCTAACTGCAGGAACTCTTAACCCTGAGTCTGTGAACTTAAAAAAAGTTGAATATGTTAAATATTTTTTTTCCTGAACATGCTTTTATTCATTAAAAATTTGGTGTTCCTTTCATTAGACTTGGAGATAGCATAGACAGTGTCAATTATGGGTTCTAAGGCTTTGTTTTTAGATTCTTTTGTAATCATTGGGAGACAAATTACTTATTTCTGAACTGTGTGTCACTTATTGCTACACAAAGCTGGACCAAACACTAAACCACCTTAGTAATTGTAAATTGACAGAAATTTTCACCCAAACTGATGAAGCCAGATGGGCTTAGAACTGTTTTCCAATGTTGAGGAATGACACTCAATAAATACCTGCATTCCCAAAGACAGCTTGAAATACCAATAAGCTGACCATCGAAATAGGAGAAAGCGCACAACACAAGGGAGAAGATTGCTAGGTTGGCCTCCACTTCTTTTCTGGGTGAGTTGTTTTTGTTAACTTTTTTTTTCCTTTTTGATGAGGCAATTGGGGTTAAGTGACTTGCCCAGGGTCACACAGCTAGTAACTGTCAAGTGTCTAAGACCGGATTTGAACTCAGGTCCTCCTGACTCCAGGTCCGGTGCTCTATCTACGGTGCCACCTAGGTGCCCCTGGTTTGTTTTTTTTTTAAGCAACAGCTGTTAAGCCATCTTCCACCCCATTAGCTGTCTCCCTGAATCACTGCACAACCATTAGGGTCCTGGTAGCAAGGGCTACATAGGGCTCTTAAGAGATGTAGGATCCCAAGGAGACTGAAAAGGAATATATAGATTCATGAAATATAATCCAAACTCCCCAGGAAACTGAGATCCTTATAAGGTAAAGGGATTTACTCAAGATCACTCAAATGGCAAAGCTGGATCTAGACCTAGTTCTTCAGTCCAGTGGTCCATTATATCACACCCTGCATATGTGTAATAAAAATAATAATAACTAACCACTATATGTATATGTATACAATTCAATATGACATAATATAGTGCCTTAAAGTTTACAAAGCTTAAATATATTATTTCAGTAGATCCCTATAGTAACCCAATGTGATAGGAATTATAGGTATTCCTATTTTGCAGATGAGGAAACTGAAGCATAAAAGGTTGAATGACTTGTCCAGAGACAAGTTTGAACCAAAGATCTCTTGGCTCCACTTTGCAGGTGGGGTCCACATTTGGCATCCCTTCGTCTTACCTGAGCTCTGCTTTCTCTGTTCCCTTTACCTTAATCTCTCAATCCCCCCCCCCCTCTAGGCACAGTGGGGTAACTGCCTTACAGTAGGCTATACACATCCCCAGGAGGCCAAATCACTAGACAGAGTGTAGGTCCAGGGTCTCTGACTCCTGCAGGTTTTCTTTCTTCTCTCCCTCCCTCCCCATATAGGAAAAAAAGATGAGGTTATTTCACAAGCTGCAGGCATCACCTCATTTGCCTTCAGGGGGATTTTGCTGTGGCTCTGGGAAGGGGTCATAGGGAGAATCGGAGGATTCCTGTGGCCTGAAAGGGTTGTGTTGCTAGCTCCCACTTTAGAGGAGGGCTCTTGGGTTTTGAGGTTTTTTTTTTTTAACTTGACAGTGGTCTCCTGTAAAGGCAGTGGGGCCTCTCTATTTACCTGCCATGAAGCTGGACTTGGGATCCAATTAGGAAGAGAATTAGGGGGTGGAGGAATGGAGAAGCTGAGGAGACAAGGGAGCAATTCTTCAGCCTGAACTGGGACCTCATTAGTAGCAGAATGGGGGGTGGGGGTGGAGTAGGGTGGGGAGGATAAGACTGAGTGTTTTGAATCAGTCACAGAGTGGGAAATTATGGAAGGAGACAGTGTTTGATTACCCCAGACAGACAGGGCCTGCCTCAAACAGTGACTTTGATGGTTTTGAGGGGTTTTGTCAGTAAGGAAGGTAACAGATTTCCAAAGTATTCTATTCCAGGACTTGGGTTTATAAGAAGTATTTGGGGAGATCGAAAGAATATGTCTCCCACCCAGGAGTATGGAAGGACACCCCTAACTAAGCCTCCTGAAACAGGCCTTGAAGGGGTAGATTGAGGAGCTCAATTCCCAGTCTATACTCTCCTCCTCCCTCCCTCACCCAGCCTGGCTGCCCCCACAGTCCCCTTCAGACCAAGGCCAAGGCCGGACACCTGCCTCTCACACATGGGCTTGCCAGGCCTGGCCCTGGTCCCTGCAAACAAAATGCACTTAAATTCATTTGCTAGAGTGCACTCACACACACACACCCATAGACACACCATGCACACACACATACACACACACACACCACTTGGCAAACTGCTCACATAGTCTTCCACATGCACATATGCACCCATCTGCTGCAGGCATTCACACACTCTAACACCCCAGGCCCACCACCTCTCTGGGCCAGCTCCTCGCTGGGCAGCATGAATAATTCACTCCTCTCTCTCAACGCATCAAATATTAATCCTCTGAGATTCCCAGCCCCTGTGTGTGTGTCATGGGCAAGGTGGGACTGGGCTGGGCCTTCCCCAGAGCCCCACCTACCAGTGACTGAGATGGTGATGGTGGCCTGCATACTCAGAGATTTTTAAAAATATGTTTTATCAGTAGCAAACTATCTGATAGCTCTCTGGCTGATTCTGTCTGTTTAGGTCAGTGTTTCTGGCTTTCTATCATCTTAACTCTATGCAGGTTTATTTTATAGCAGGGATTCTTACCCTAGGATCTATTAAGTTATTGTTATTCTTTTTTAGTAAGTTAGGTAGCATAGAGTGCTAGTCTTGGAATCAAGAATACCTGAATTCAAATCTTATCTCAGGTACTTGCTAGCTGTGTGACTCTGGGTAGGTCACTTAAACTCTGTCTGTCTCAGTTTTCTTCTCTATAAAATGAGAATATTAATAGCATCCAGTTTCCAGGGTTGTTGTGAGGCGCAAATGAGATACTATTCACAACGTGCTTTGAAAACTTTAAAGCACTATATAATGCTAGCTATTATTATTTAGATTTTTTTATAATTTATTTTAATATAATTGGTTTCTTCTGTAATCCTATTTATCATATTTTATACACTTGGAAATATTTTTCTGATAAGGGGGGTTCATGTCATTAAAAAGTTTAAGAACCCCTGCTTTAGAATAAAAGTCTTAGGTTTAGACCAACTCATGGGACCTCTGTGTTTTGGGATAGAGAGGACATCTTTTCAGCCAGGAGACATCTCCTGGCATCTCGGCCCCCTTCTGTCATGGTCCATTGTGGGACCACCAGGAGACAAGCAATACCTGATGATCATCCAGGCTGAGGCCCCACACTCCAATGCTTCCTCTCTAGGGGCAACACCACTAATCTCTAAGTTGTTCCAAAGAGTAGTACCGTCTGCCCTCCTGTTCCCCTTCTCCAACTCCTCCACAGTCAACCACTTCTCATATCTCGTTCCAGAGGTGATCCAGACAAATGTGACATCTGGGGTAACACCCCTCTGCACCTGGCAGGCTCTAACGGGCATCTCCACTGCTTGTCATTCCTGGTGTCCTTTGGGGCCAATATCTGGTGCCTAGACAATGACTACCACACGCCCTTGGACATGGCCGCCATGAAAGGGCACATGGAGTGTGTGCGCTACCTGGACTCCATCGCGGCCAAGCAGAGCAGCCTGAACCCCAAACTTGTGGGCAAGCTGAAAGAGAAAGCTTTCCGTGAAGCCGAGAGGCGCATCAAGGACTGCGCCAAACTGCAGCGCAAACACCATGCGCGCATGGAGCGGCTTTACCAGAGAGAGCTGGCTGAGCGGACAGACACGCTGAGCTTCTCCAGCCTCTCTTCCAGCACCCTGAGCCGGCGTCTCCAGAACTTGTCTCTGGCCAGCCACCTCCCCTACTCCCAGGCCACCCTCCACGGCACCGGCCGAGGTAAGACAAAAATCCAGAGGAAGCTGGAGCGTCGTAAGCATGGCGAAGGAACTTTCAAGATATCAGAAGACGGGAGAAAAAGCATCCGCTCTCTGTCTGGGCTGCAGCTGGGCAGTGACGTGATGTTTGTCCGGCAGGGGACCTATGCCAACCCTAAGGAGTGGGGCCGTTCCCCACTCCGGGATATGTTCCTCTCAGATGAGGACAGCGTCTCTCGTGCCACCTTGGAGCCTGGCCTAGGGGCTGAGTCTGCCCACTCAGAAGTCAGCACAGACTCAGGCCATGACTCTCTTTTTACTCGCCCTGGCCTGGGTACCATGGTGTTCCGAAGGAACTATGTAAGCAGTGGGCTTCAGGGGCTGGGGCGGGAAGGAGAGATAGATGGGGCAGGCACGTTGCGTGCCCGGATGCAGCACTCACCAAGCCTAGATGATGATAGCATCGGCAGTGCCAATAGTTTGCAGGAGCGCCTTGATGAATTGCCTTGGGATGGGTTTGACCTGGGACTGGATGAGGCCCTGGAGCCTGAGACCAGCCCGCTAGAGACTTTCCTTGCCTCCCTGCACATGGATGACTTTGTGGCCCTCTTGAGGCAGGAGAAGATTGATCTGGATGCCCTGATGCTCTGCTCTGAACTAGACCTCCATAGCATCAGCATCCCCCTAGGTCCCAGAAAGAAGATCTTGGGGGCGGTCAAACGACGTCGCCAGGTGCTGGAGCGGCCCCCTGCCCTGCAGGACACAGAGTTGTAAGTCCAAGAAGCAGGAAGTGAAATAGTGAAACAACTCAGGAAGTGCTTAGGCTCATAGGACTTTGAGCTGGAAGGGCCCATAGAGATCAGCTGGTCCAACCCTCTCATTTTACAATGAGGAAACAGTTCCAGAGAAGGGGAAGTGACTTGGCCACACACCTAGGGATTTGCCCTTGCAAAGGGAGCCTGTCCTTTTTGGGGGGGGGGAGGGGAGTTGGCACAGGGAGCAGCAAGAACCAGTAAATAAATTTTATATACCTGGGAGAGACCTGTGACTTGGTCTTTCTGTGTTTGGGGAAGACTGAGTTGAATTCTCAGTACCAGGTACTTGATTCCCAACTCTCAGGGATCAGGGATATTTTGATCTTCTTTAAGTTGCCCAAATGAGAACTCATAAGGAATCCTTACACATATGTAGCAAAGGAAAGGAGGGTTGGATTGGAGCACTTCTTGTGGAACTGAGAATGCACTTAGACCATTTCCAGTAAGAGGTGTACTCTGGCCCTTTGCTATAAGTCCAAGAGGGGCTGTGCTAAAGATGTCTGGCAACTAAGCCAGGAGAAGCAGCTCCTTCTGTGGGAGCAAGAAGAGATGGTTTCCAGTCCCTTTTTCAAGGTAGTCTCTTTGTTGAGACACGGAAAACACCAGCTCTTTCTTCAGCTCGTAATGAGGGACCAAAGCACGTGTCTTGGGAAGTGACTGGAATGGTGAATGCCCAGTTTTCATAAGAAGTGTTCTAATCTATTCTCTACTTGCTACACATAGCTTTAATGTCTCAGGTGCCAGAGTGGGTCCCTCCACAACTCCACTTAGCCGCATCTACGACATCACCTGGTGGTGATTCCTTAATGGGAACATACCAATCCCTGGCAGTCTGGTGTCTTTAGGTGCTATCCTGGGAGCCTCATAGGTATCTAACAATACTTGTGGGAGGTGACCAGATTATGAGATTGGGTAGGTGGGGCATTTAAATTCTGTTTCCTCCAGCTCTTTCCAGGGAACTCTCCAGGAAAAAGAGACTGCCAAATTATTGGGGATGGGGTGGAGGTGTGGGACTAGGAATGGGGTAGTCACCACAACGCTCTTTGATATTAATTGATGTTAATATTCATGAAGGACTTCACTGAGGCAAGCATTGACTATTCTCCCCTCTCTCCACAGATAACAGAGGGGTTTTTGCCCCAAACCAATGAATTGCAAATTGCCACAGATCCCGGTGAGACCACCAGAGGCCTCACCAGCCACAGTCCAAAGGCCCTTGTTCCCTTCCTGTCCTGCAGTTCCAGGAGCCTGGGTCCTGCTGGGATGATGGACTGCTTGTTCTTTCAAGATTGTTCTAGGTCTGGGAATAGAGAGTGTTCCCTTTTCTCCTCCTCTAGCTCACCTTATTCTCTCCCATCTTGCTGTAACCCTGGTGGGGAGGGGGAAAGGGATGCAGGTCTCACCATCCTGTGTATTTGGGTTTCTGTGATCTAGAGGACCTGAGTACTTGGAAAGGTGAGCACAGCTCTTCTTTCTTGGGACACGGGCAAAACCAGATCTCCCTTAGACTTCTAGTGAGGGGTCAGAGCACAATGGAAGTAACCCAAATAGTGAATGTCCTGATCCAAACCACTCCTTACACCCCCTCACTATGAATAGTTTTAAAGCTGTGGCCATGTTAAATAGAAGGATGCCTGTCCCCACTCTGAACCTGACAGAAGACCCTTCAAAGGGCATTTCTATGCATTAAACCCCAGCTCACAGAGTCAGGGGAAGCCATATCTCCGGGGTTCTGAAGTGCTGTAAGCTCAGCAGAAGGAAAGGGTGCCCCTCGATGCTGGCCACTTGTCCCCTCTTAGAAGAGGATCCTCAGACTGAGTCTCTCCCTCTAGAGAACCTGTATCCAGAGGGGCGAGAGCCATTCATGAGACAGACTCCTCAGCCAAAATACATTTCTACCTTGCAATGCTGACCGCTGAGAGCATGTACAGTTCCCCCTTCCCTCTCACAGTCTTCAGCCCCTCATCCATCTTGCTTTGCCACCGCTGGGGAAATAAGGAGTGCCAGACTAGAAGCAAAGAATATTGGTTTCTCTTTCCAGCTCAGCCACGTGCTTCAGGCCCCTTCCCTTTCCCCTCCCCCCTCATGCTTCCATCTCCCCCTTAACTATACAGGCAGGAGAATAACAGCCCTTGTCATCCTGCAGAGAAACTTCGAGAGCCAAGGTGACACCAGGTGGTAGAGGAATGGGCTTCCGCACTATGAATCTAGAGGCTGGGCACGAGCTCCTCCCTGAAGTAGAGACGGGCACAAGCCACCAGCCTCAGAGACATCTCCCCCACCCTCCCACATCCCTCAGAGGCATAAAGAGACAGATCCTGAGCGCAGCTCCTGACTTAGTGCCCAGTACAGGCATGCACTAACAGAGACAGCTCTCAATTATCCACTCCAGTGTGGGCAGGGGAGGGACCAACAGCATAGGGAATCTGAAACAGTTGACAAACTCCAAAGCTTTGGTGAGAGTTTTTTTTCTATTTTGGGGGGCACTATCCTCCTTTGGAAAGAAAGGGTGAGCAGTATTGTAATTGTTGCCCTGTTTGGCTCAGTGTTAATAGCACATTTAACTTGCTGATCCTGAGCAATGAAGTGGAGATGAAGTGGGTAGCTGGGAGTGTCCTTGCTGGCAGCAGGATTAGGAATTCCCCATGGCTAATCCACAAAATGAGAGCTGATTAACTTTTTACTGAAGATGCTGATGGTTGTCAGAGACATAGTAAGATTCGCAGGACATAGACATGGGATACACATCGTCATGTACATGCTCGAACAGCCCTCCCATCTGCCTTCTTTGATCCTCTGCCCTTCAGCTGAGGAGCCCTTTTTTCTTCTATCACCGTAGCTCCTAGTTCCTTCAGCCCCTGAGCTGGTTATGACTGGGGTTTTCCCCCAGGAAGAGGCCCATGGGTAGGGGAGCTTCACCACCCTACAGGGATGAGGGCCTTCTAAGGTGGAGTGTCTATTCCCCAATCGCCTTCAGGGTCCCTTATATGCCATCCCAAGCCTGATCCCAACCGGTCTTTTGGCTCTGTTTCCCAGGCCTGGGGCAACCCTTAAGTGCCGATATCGCTCCCACTTAGCTCCAGGCTATCTCCTATCCCCCTATACCATTCCTGGACCCCACCCCTCCCTTTCCTTACCCTGCCCACTTACTGCACATACTCCTTCCCCAATTCTGTATAAGTTGGGTAAGGGAGAGGGCCCGGGGTTCTTTCTGCTGTACTATTGTTACCCATTCTGATTATAATTCTTTTGTATAGAATTCCCTGCCATGGTGTGATTTTTGATTGGCTGGATCTTTGGGTATTGGGTAGGGTGGGCAGAGTGGCGAGAATTACTGGGTCTGCAGTAAGGAGTAGTATCCTTGGGGGGGAGGGGGTTGAGCAAAGATTTAGTGTGACCAGGAACTGAAGCTCCTGTGTTTGGGCAGAATCTTTCCCCTTTGCCTCCACATCTGTGTAGATCTTTCATTCCTTCCTCCTACTTCATCCTAGGTCCTGACACTTAGGAACAAGACTAGGAGAGTTATTGAGGTGGGGGGAGCAGGAATGGTTGGAAGAAGGGATGGGACTGAGTAGGTGGGTGGTCCGGGCTCAACCCATTCCTAGAGCTGAGACCCCTTCTCCAAAGCCTAAGGGACAGGTGGCAGCCCTTCTGAGGTAGGTTGTTCTCAGCTCCCGTGTCTTCAGAAGTGCCCTCTGAGATGGGCCAGTCTCTTCTTTAGAAGTAAGACCACCTGGACTGTAGGGTGGGGTGAAGAATATTGGTTCTGGAGTCAGAGGTCCTGCATTCAAATTTTACCTCTGATGATCTTGGGCAAATCACAACCTCTCTGGGCCTCAGTTCTCTCATCTGTAAATGAGGGGTTGGACAAGTTGGCTTATGAGACCCCTTCCAGCTCTAAATCCATAATTCTTTGGCCTCTGGAATCCCTGTCCTTTTTTATTTTTTTTTTTGGCTAGGCAATGGTGTTAAGCGACTTGCCCAGGATTACACAGCTAGTAAGTGTCAATTGTATGAGGTCGGATTTGAACTCAGGTCCTCCTGACTCCAGAGCTGGTGCTCTATCCACTGTGCCACCTAGCTGCCCTGATCCCTGTCCTCTTAATCTGACCACTTCCCTTCTTCAGGCCTCAGCTTCCTCCTCTATTAAGGTGCCCTCCAGTTATAAAGTACTGTTGTTCTGTGGCAATCTAGTCCAATCGACCCCACTGCTACTGAGGATTCTGTTATAGTACTCAATTTCCCAAACTGTCCTGATGCCACAGCCACACTTCCCGGGAGCACAACATGACCTTTATAAGCTGTCCCTGAGTTAAGGGTACAAAACTACGCTGCCAGGCTAACAGGCTCCCAGGGGTCAGTTATGGTCCAAGAAAGGGATCTGAGAATTATTGTAGCCTCTTCCCTAAAGATGTTGGCCAATTGAGAGGCAGCATAGAGTAATGGTTAGGGAGTCACAGTATTTCGGTTTGAATACCAGTTCTGTTCCTTATCACCTATGTGACCTGGACAAGTCATTCAACCTCTGCGGGGCTCAGTGTTCTCATCTATAAGAAGACGTGATTGAACTCAATGATTCCCAAGGTTCTTTTCAATTTTCAAGCGATGATTGGATGTGCTGTTGAGGCTGCTTAGATTAGAGGTATCAACAGGATGAGCTCAGAGTTCAGTGAATCTTACCACCCTTCAAACAAAGGGGAAAACATTTCTCTGCCCCTATTGTGAGCCATAGTGTGCCTGCCCTGACAGGTGGAGGCATAATTCTAAAGCAAAACCTCAATAAATACCCAATGGAGATGGAGGAAGTCTGGAGTGGTTGCAATCAGAAAAAACAAAGGCTTGGGAAAAGCTTCCTATGGTATGATAACAATGGTGATAATAATAACACTGTTGACCAACTGTCACTTGTGTGTGCTTTATAAAATGCTTTCACATTTATTATCTCCTTGGGTCCTCACA